AATAGTGAGCTCAACATGAGGCCTCCTGTCTTTTGGGGTGTCCCCCTAACAGGGCACTTCGACCTCACCCTTTGGATATACTCAGCCATGGAGGGAGCCCTACCTACTGAAGCCCAAAGTACTTGTTTACATTTGGAGAGCTCCGTGCATCTGAGCCACCTGCCATGGTCCGGGCAGTGCCAGCACCTACAATGTGCCCATCACAGGGCAGGGGGTGCTCTGTAGCTCTGCCTGCTGAGGATCATAGTTTCCAGCATTGGACTCTCCTGTTATCACCCTGCTCATTGTCAACGGTTCTCCTTGGTTCTGTGGTCTCAACACCTGTAGGCATTGCCTTAAAGAAGGATGGGTGGTGACTGAGGCCAATATCTTCATCTCTGTCATCAGCAAGGCGCTATCTGCCCCCTCTCACAGGGCAGAAGCCAGCTGGCCAGGATCTGTCTGTACTGCTTTCCTTTGGACAAAAAGGGCATAATGAGCTCATGCTCTAAATCACATACCCGAGCTTTCAGTGTCTCTTCCACAGCTCGAGGCTTGCACACTAGGTTTTCATTACAAAGTGTCCTCATGGTCGGCAGTCAAGACAGCCAGTTTACCCTCTCCACCTACATCTGCTCCTGCCTCAGCAGTGTCCACAAGGACCTCATGAGTCTTTTCCAGCAATGCAAGGGTCCGGTTTACCTCTTCTCTGCCCGGAAGTTGCATCCTGCTTGACTACACCAGATGTGAGGCCAGGAAAGGAAGAGAGTCTCAGGAGGCTAGGAGGTTTGAGGAGATTAGAGGTACAATGGATAAATAAGACATTCTGTATCTATTCACCAGCACACAAGCCTCTAGGCAAGAAGTCAGCCACCTGCAGGCACCTTGACACAGGCTGACACACACAAGCCTCCTACAGACTAGCACACAGGCCTGTAGGCAAGCACATAGGCCCACAGGCAAGCTCACAGGTCTACAGGCAAGCACACACATCTACAAGTAAACACACATGCCCACAGGCAAGCACACAGGCCTACAGGCAAACACACAAGCCGACGTAGGCAAACACACAAGCTGACGTAGGCAAACACTCAGGCAGGCAGGCTGAGAATCTAAGAATCCATTACTGAGTCATTCCTTCATGCTCCTTAAACTTTTGGGCATAAATAATTGAACTTTTAGTAAATGGCTTATTTACTGCAGTTTTCAAAACCAATAATCATGAGGAGACCTGAAGGCTAACCAAGTCCCTGTGGCAGGTGTATCCAAATGGTACACTGAACTGTGACCTGGCCCTGACTCTGAGACTCTTCCCTAGAGGCAGCAGAAACTGACAGACCAGACCTAATGACTCATACCTGTAACCTCAGCAATTGGGGCACTGAGACAGGAGGATTTCTGTGAGCTCCAGGCTAGCTTTGGTTACGTAGTAAGTTCCCCTTGGTTACACCCTAAAGAGAGAGATACAAATGGGGGAGAGGGAGGAGAGGGAGAGGGAGGGGGGAAAGAGAGAGAGAGAGAGAGAGAGAGAGAGAGAGGAAGAAGAGGAGGAGAGGAGAGAAAAGGAAAGAAGGAAAGGAGGAAGGAAGGGGGGAGGTAGGAAAGAGGAGAATGAGGGAAGGAGAAAAGAGAAATCCCAGGTTAGACTGGTCCATGGTACTTCTATATTCCCTTATAGAACCTTTGAATTCAGTCACTTCCTGCCCCCTTCCACCCCACCTCACATATGCATTGCAAAGTGCACTGGGAATCTGGATGCTTCTAACATGTATGTTTGCCCAGCCTTGCTTAATAATATGCTATTTGACTCTGTCCTCAGGCAGTGTCAGGAGACCTGGGATGCTGTCCATCTTGGGCAGTGTGGGATGCCTGGGAGACCCATTGTGACTCACAGTGTGACCCCTAAGGCCTTGATGTGCTAGAGATAAACTGACTCATTATTTCATCACGGGAGTTTCAATGATACATTACCTTGAAAAGTGGCTTTTTAAGACAGACCTTTTAGGTCTTGCCAAAAGATGGATTCAGTATATTTTCCTCTAAATGACTAAGTAAAGTAAGTTGCTTTATACTTTGCTGTATGAATTGAAGTACTCAACAGTTTAAATGTAAGATCTTTGGAGTTGCCAAGGCCTAGGATTGAATGGGTGGTTCCAGCATTTAAAACTGTAATTAGAGCAAGTAATTGATAATCACTTCATAATGTGGTTTAGATTATGAAATGAGATTATATCTATAAAGTGATTAGCATGGAATATTTAATTAAACCAGGCATAGTAGCTCATACTTAGGATACTAGACCCTGGAAGAGGGAGGCAGGAGGATCAGAAGGTCAAGGTCCTCTTTGGCTACAAAGTGAGTTCAAGATCAGCCTAGGCTTTGTGAAATGCTGTTTTAAAGAAAAAAAAAAAAAGTGCTTCAGGGTGTGGTGGTGCTCACTTTTAATCCCAGCACTCAGGAGGCAGAGGAAGGCAGATCTCTGTGAGTTTGAGGCCAGCCTGGTCTACATAGTGAGTTCCAAGCCATCTGAGGCTACAGGGGGACCTTGTCTCAAAAAAGACCAAAAAAAAAAGTACTCAATTGATAGCTAAAGATAACAACAACAAAAAAAAGTCAAACCGGGTATATTAAAAATTATCAGTAGTAAGCATCTTGTGTTTGTTTATACCTTTATAAAAGCTATCTACAAGGGTGATAAACTTTTAATTTATACATTAATTTAGACTAAAACTCTTATATTTTCTATGCCAGCAATTAGGCATGTAAAATACATGCATTAGAATATCTAATAATATTCTTCAGGTTACTCTTCAAAGATTTTCTTTATATATACTTGTTTTGTTGTAATATTTATTATTTTTGGGTCTTTCTTGAGATAGGGTCTCCCTATAGCCCCAGCTGGACAGAGATCCGCCTGCCTCTGCCTCCCCAGTGCTGGTATTAAAGGTGTGTGCCACCATGCCTGGCTGTAATATTTTATTATTTTTATTTTATAGATGGGTGTATTGCCTGCATGTATGTAAGTGCACCCATGCTGTGCAATGCCTGAAGATGTCAGAAGAGGGGTTGTCAGATTCCCCTGGAACTGGAGTCATGGATGGTTTGTTAGCCACCGTGCGGGTGCTAGAAACTGAATCTGAGTCTTCTGCAAGAGCAGCCAGTGCTCTTAACTACTGAACCATCTCTCCTCTGTTTTGTTTTGCTGAGGCAGGGTCTCTCTGTAGTCCCAGCTAGCCTGGATCCCACCGAGATCAGCGTGCCTCTGCCTCTAGAGCTGCTGGGATTAGACGCGTGCGCCACCACACTTGGCACTTTATACTTTTTTAAGACAAGGCTTTTAAGCCGGGTGTGGTGGCGCATGTCTTTAATCCCAGCACTTGGGAGGCAGAGGCAGGCGGATCTCTGTGAGTTCAAGGCCAGCCTGGTCTACATAGTGAGTTCCAGGAAAGCTGGGGCTACAAGGAGACCCTGTCTCAAAAAGACAAGGCTTTTTTCTTGGACAACCCACAAAGGACATATGGGGACACAAATCAGTCTCTATAGGCCAGACTATAAATATAAGAAAGTTCATTAAATTGGGTGGGGGAAGTGGGGAGAGATTTGGAGAGGAGTGGCTCTAAATACCATCAGACTATATTGTATGAAAATTGCAGAAATTCATAAAAATATTTTATTGGACATACTTTTCATATAGAAATGAAGCTACAGGATTAGGCAGTATTTGTGGTGTCGGTGGAGTCTCAGACACTTGCTTTTGTTTTTTGAGTCAGAGACTCATGAAGCCCAGGCTAGCCTTGAACTTGCTAAATAGCACAAGATGACCTTGAATTCCTGATCCTCCTGCCTCCACCTCCCAAGTGCTGGGATTCAGGTCTGCACCACAATGCCTGGTACAATGCTCAGAAAAAATTTTTTAAATATTTATTTTATGTGTATGAGCATACTGCCTGCACATATGTAAGTGCACTCGTATGTATGAGCGTACTGCCTGCATGTAAGTGCACTCATGTCATGCATTGTGTTATGTCCCCAGAGCTCGGAAGAGGGTGATGGAACTGGAGTTACAGATGGTTGTTAGTCACTATGTGGGTGCTGGGATTTGAACCCTGATCTTTCTGAAAGAGCAATCAGTGTCTTTTAACTGCGGAGCCATCTCTCCAGCCCCTGCTTTTGTTTTTTGAGTCAGGGACTCATGTAGCCAAGGCTGGCCTTGAACTTGCTACTAAGTAGCACAGGATAACCTTTAACTCCAGATCCTCCTGTCTCCATCTTCCAAGTGCTGGGATTCAGGTCTGCACCACAATGATTGGTACAAGTCTCCGAATTTTTTTTTGAGACAGGGTCTCTCTGGAGCCCTAGCTGTCCTGGAACTCACTATGTAGACCACGCTGGCCTTGAACTTACAGAGATCCACCTGCCCCTGCCTCCGGAGTGCTGGGACCAGCAATTCTCAGAAATTTTAAAAAGACAGGTTCATCCAGTTTTCTGACCACAGATGTTCATTTGCCAAGTAACTGTAATCAAGACAGCCCTGCGCTGAGTGATGTGACTGGGAGAACCTGGTCAGGAGTGTTAATTACAACTACCCCAGGCTGGGCGTGGTGGTGCATGCCTTTAATCCCAGCCCTCCGGAGGCAGGGGCAGGCGGATCTCAGTGAACCTGATCTACATAGTGAGACCCTGTCTCAATAAAAAAATAAAAAAATAAATTCATTTGAGACCGGAAGTGCCAGGTCAGCCGGGCTACACAGATCCTGTTTACTGCCCTCAGCACCGGCCTCGGGCGGTCACAGGGCAGCTTTGGGGATGACTCGCTGTGGGGTGGCTCTGCCTGGGCGTATAGCGATCCCGGCGAAGGCGACCACTCCGCACAGCCAGACACAACCAGGGGCGAAGCCCGCGCCCAGCTGCAGCAGTGTGGAGGGCCTAGCCCCGCCCCAAAGCCGCAGGCCCCGCCTCGAGCGCCACAGGCCCCGCCCCCGCGGGAGTCTGCGGGCTGGTGCGGGGCTCCGTGACGCATGCGCGATCGCTGGGCGTAGGTGGCGCTAGATCCACCTGAGGAGCTTGTAGGGCGACGGTGCGGCCGCCATTTTGTCGGTTGTTTGTCGCAGCGGCTGGAAAGCGACGACGGCGGTTTGGAGACGTTTCTCGGCCAGAAGGCCTTTTGCTTTTGCGGAGGTGAGGCTTCTCCGGGTGCGGAGGGCCGGGTCGGGGGGTTGTCGCGTGTGACTGAGGCCTCGGCGGAGCCCGGTGTCTGAGCGAAGCGGACTCGGCCTCGGCGCCCGGGGACGAGCCCGGGGCGGCGTCCACCCCCGGGGCTGCGGCGGTTCCGTCAGCCGTCGCGGGAACCCGTGGGGACCCCTCCTCCGCGCCCCGGGGGGGCCTCGTCTGTGGACCTGGCTCTCCCGAACCCAGCCTTCGCCCCTTTTTGGCTGCGCCAGACTTGGCCGGCTGTCCGGGGGCGGCCACGGGTCACTTCCAGCTCCTGCGAAGATCAAGACGGGATGCTTCGGCCTCCGTGCGGTGCTGGGGTGTTTTAATGACAGGGTCTCCCTGGAAACCCCAGCTGGCCTGGGAGTAGACCAGGTTAGCCCCGAGCTCCGCGAGATCCGCTTGCCTCTGCCTCCCCAGTGCATTCCCACGCCCGACCTATTTCTTGTTCTGTTTTTTTGTACCGGTGTTGGCAGAGAATGTGCGTTGCTGATAATTTTGCAGTGTGATAGCCCTGGTTGCTGGAGTAGCCAGCCCTCCAAACCCAACCCAGCAGTCACCGTGAATCCTGCACCTGTACATGCCGGCCTCTGTTCCCCTTTGTAAAATGCAGCCCTCATGGGAGCCCGCCAGTCAGAACTAATAACCTAATTTTGATGTGTTTAATTCATGTACTTACCATAAAGTTATCAAGTCGTCCACGGTTTTAAAAACGATGACGGAGAATCAGACTTCTAATCATATATATTTATACACATATACACACATTTATATACACACATTGTGTATATATATATGGATCCATTGCGTTTGATACTTTTGAAGGACACCTAGTGATTCTAGCATGCAGGATTTTTTTTAAAAAAGTATTAATTAGAAATAGTATAATTTAGGTGGTCTTTTTCATTTCTGCATATGCAAAGGAACTTCAGTCATATATGGTGAGGCCAGAAATCTTTGTCTCCAAAAAGCACTTTTTTTTTTTTTTTTTAAAGATGGGTTCACTGTGTAGCCCCAGCTCTCAGATCTCTGCTGTTTCTCCCTCCAGAGCGCTGGGAGATTTAAGGCTATGCCCTTTCACCCAGCCTAAAATGATTTCAACTTTGCTGGAGACCAAGGTAGATGTGGGGTGGACAAGAGGCTGGGTACCAGCAGCTGAGTTCAATTCAAAGTAGTGAGTCTAACTAGAGAAATTCAGGTCTTGGGCTCTCATAAGAAAATTCTTTTAATTTTAATGTTCACATATTAGTAATTTTTGATAAATTGGGAATTCTGCCTTGTAAGAGGTAGGCTGGTTGTGCCCTGGTGAAGTAGAAGTGAGAGGAGGAGCTAGAGCAGACACAAATCTTGTGAAACCCTGCATCCACGGCTCAGGGATGAGTCATCAGAAGTTGTAAATTTGCTTGTTGTTATTTAAGAGTTTAGGAGCTAGGGATGTTGTAACCCAGTGGTAGTAGGTAGAATGACTTGCAGTCCTGGATTCAGTTCCTAGCACAGAGAGGAAAAAAAAATGGTCTTACATCAAACTGAGAAATCTAAATGTAGTTAAAATACAATTTTGATAACAGAAGGAGTGAATCAGAATTCCATTAGAAATAGAAATTTTGAGTATCTAAAAGTTTGGGTTTTAGCTTTTTTCTCAAGCAAATTTGTAGCGTTATTTCACTTTCCCATATTTCGAAATGACTATGTCAAACTGGATGCTCACTGACTTCAACCCGTAAACCTAACAAGTTTAATGCTCCATTTTAGTCTTACTAAAGCTCCTTTGCTAATTTGTAATTTTTTTAAAAAAATTTAAAACCAGTAAAATTTTGCTAGCAGACTTCGAGATAAAGATTTCACTTCAAAGCAGGACAGAAGATTCAGTGGTTGAGAGTATGCGCTACTGCTACGTTTGGTTCCCAGCATTCACATTGAGTGGTTCACAACTGATTGTAACTCCAGTTTGAGAAGATCTAACACCCTCTTCTGACTTTCTTAAGCTTAAAAAAAAAATTAACGACTGGGAGGCCTGGCCTAAGATGGTTTCAGTGTGTAAAGGCACTTGCCACCAGACTTGATAACTTGAGTTTGAGCCCTAGGACGTACATGGTAGAGGAGAGAATTGACTCCCACAAACTAATATTTGACCTTCTCTCTTTTCTTCTTTTTTTGGGTCTCCCTGTAGCGGCAGCTGACTTGGAACTCATTATGTGGACCAGGCCTCAAACTCAGAGAGCCGCCTGCCTCTGCCTCCCAAGTGCTGGGTTTAAAGGCATGTACCACCATGCCCGGCAACCTTCTCACTTTCATTATGGCATAGACGCACACAAGTGTTTAAAGAAATAAACGGTTTTGGAAAAGAAGATAGGAAGAGTAAATGGGTTAAATTGTTTGAACGCAGAACTGAACCTGAGAGGCATCCATGCTGCACTCTGGAGGTTGTAGATGGAGTTTGGGAATTGTCACACCATTGTCTGCTGTCACTGCACTCTAGTAGGATAGTTTCCTTCTAGGCTTTGTTACTGTTGTTATGTGTCCCCCTCCCTAATCACTCCAGGTCTACAAATAGTTTTTATTTTCAAGAATACCTAGAAAGCTAGGTATGCACAGGCCTGCAGTCCTAGCATTGGGAGGTGAAACTGAGGAGCTGAGATCATCCTCAGCTACATACTGAGTTCTAGACCAGCCTGGGCTACATGAGACTGCTTCAGAAAAATCAAACAGGAATAGAAAACCTAAAACTAAAAACTGCAGGATGATCCAAATAGAGATAGAGAAAAGGCACTCAAAAAACGCCTTGTGGTTTCCTTTCAGTTTCTCTTAATTCTGTGTTCCATCTGTCTATCGCCTTTGTTATTTTTAAAACTTGGACTGGTTTCTGGGGTTTAGAGAAAGGAACTCTAGTAAGAGTTTGAGGGAAAAGAAGCCTTATTAATGAAAGGTTCTTTACCTTTGAACCAGTCAGTTCCTGTTTTTCTCACTTTAATTAATTGAATTATACTTTGCAAATGCTCCTGGACATTTGTGATACTATTTCAACTAACTTTAGTTTTGATGTTTGAATTATACAGCTACATGTTTAATGTAGGAAAATAGGAAGATAAGCAGTGGTCTTCTTTCATACTGTTCCATATCGTCTCACTTGGGCATATATTTGCAATAATTTGTGCCCCTCAAAACTAACACAAATCTAACTATAAAAATAAAGTTAGACTCAAAAATACCAAAACAAACAAAAAGCAAAAGAAAAATAGCCAGGCATGGTGGCGCATGCCTTTAGTCCCAGCACTTGGGAGGCAGAGGCAGGCAGATGTCTCTCTATGAGTTCAGGGCCAGCTGGGGAGACCCTGTCTCAAAAAGACCAAAAAAGTAAGACTGCCCTAACTGCATAAACTAGCCTTTCAGGTGCTAGTTTATATTATTTACAAATCTATGTGCATTCATTTCAAACTTGATTTTTAAATTCAAATTGAGGGGCTAGTAATGTAGGCAACTTGGTAGAATTGTTAACATTTAAAAAAATGACTAGAAAATCAGTATAAATAGACGGTAACAAAGTAAATGATTAATTACTAAGTGCTTTTTGTCTAAGTTTGAAACATTTTTTTATGTGTGTGGGGGCACATGTACATGTTGGCACATGTGGGAACTAATGAGATCTACGTGGGATGTCTTTCTTGCTTGTTCTCCGCCTAGTGTTTTTGAGACAGGCCCACACTGAACCCAGAACCTACTAATAGGCTAGACTGGCTGCCCAGGGAACTCCAGGGATCCACCTTTCTCAACCTTCCTAGCACTGCAGTTACAGCTTTGTGTTATGTCCCCTGTCTTTATGTGGGTTTGAGGGATCTGAACTCAGGGCTTCATGCTTGCATAGCAAATACATTGCTAACTCAGCCATCTCCCTGGCCCTTGGGCCATTTTAATTGTCCTTTTTAAAAACGTGTAAGAGAGCAGTTAATGAGTGCTACTGGAAGGCAAGCACCAGCCTGAGAATTTGTCCTTGTACTAAGCTTCAAAGAAAATATATTAAAGTCATGGTGTTGTCTGTATTAGTACTGGGTCAGGTCCACTCTGCAGTCACTGCACATACCAGCAGCAGTATGTTCTAAGTTTTGGGAAATGGACCTAAAAAGATTTTAGAGCTTGTGTAACTTTGCATGCTAGCTCTTCATGTATAAACAGTATTAATGTGTAACTATTATACAACCATCTTTAGCGTCTCAGCTCACGTTTTTTTTTTTTTCTGGTTAACAGATGCGGCATTCCAAACAAACTCACTGTCCTGATTGGGATAGCAGGGAAAGCTGGGACCATGAAAGCTACAGTGGAAGTCACAAGCGGAAGAGGAGGTCTCACAGTAGTACACAAGAGAACAGGCATTGTAAACCACATCACCAGTTTAAAGATACTGATTGGTAAATGATTTGCATTTTAAGTCCTAATCGTTTGATACAATTTGACATTTGCTCATATAGCTTTTATCTTTCAAATTGTTTTAGAATTCAGATAACATATTTATTCAGGAAGCAGTTACTAAGTACCAGCTATAGGTCCTGAGACTGTAGCTGTGAATAAAAAAGTTTCTATCCTACTTTGTCTGGGAATGGAGGGAGACAGTTGATCAGCAACTGAATGAAAAGTATCTTTAAGGGCTCTGAGGATGTAGCCCAATGCTAGAATACTTGCCTAGCATGCTGAGGTTCTAGTTAAACCTTAGAAACCCCTCCAACAAAATTTTGTGATAGGAAAGAAGAAAAGTGTATTCAGCACCACACAAAGTAACAGTGATAGTGCCCTGTGAGTGATTTTAGCTTGTGTCTTGGAGGGGTAGTATGTAGATTTGGGTGCCCAGGTGTTTCACAAATGAGGTGTGATGGAGGGTGGTCAGTCCATCTGAGAAAAGCAAGGCATGCTATTTGAAACTATTAAAGTGCACTAGGATGTAGTCACTCATGCTCTGTAGGTTATAGTTATAGAATAAGACCAATGGATATGCCTGTCTGGGAGCTTGCTTAGTCTAAGGACTATTCCTTTACACAGGCATGCTCTGGTTAATGTAGGAAAGAGCCCTAGTAAAAACTTGTGATAGTGTGTCCTTTTATTCTTAGGGTGTAAAGTTTTGAGGTAATGCATTCATGTATAATTAAAATTAAAGGGCACTTGAAAGTTTTAAGTAGTAAAGAAAGGCTAGGTGAGTAGAGTTTCTTTCCCTCTGCCTTTCATTAATTTCCCTTTCTCATTTGTTTTGTTGGTTCTATGTTTTCTCCCTGTTTGTACAGATGTTCCATTGGGACTGTTTACCAGATTGCTTTCTAAATTAGCCAGCTGGGGTTACTTTAAAAAACAGTATGTAATTTTTTTCCTTCTCCATGCTAAACAGAGTTATTCTGCCAAACAGCTTGTTTGTAGTCCTTATAGACTAATCATGCTTTATCAAACAGTTATATAAGGGGTGGTGGGTAAGATTTATGACAAGATTTCAATGACCAGACTGTATTAATGTACAATGAACTATAAAAAATATCATCTGCTCCCCATTATTAAGTACAGAATATTCTAAGGCTTAGCATCTTACAACTGACTATTCACAGGGTTATAGTTAACTATAAAATTGCCCTTCCTGGAACTGAGTCAGTCCAGTTAACCACTTCTTTGACATTGGCACCAGATAAGTTTGGTGGTAATTACTCATCATAATCCAAGTATTGTAATAATTGTAATACATTTTCATGAATATTTTTTATAAAATTACTGAAAAATTTAAGATGCAGCAAAATGTATAGAAAGTAACCTTAGTAGGATGCTAGTGCCCTGTTACTTGAATGTAAGTTATTTCTGATTATTTGATCTTAAAGTATCTTTGTATACAAATCTTTGCCTGTGATTATTTCCTGAAAACAGATGTTCAGAAGAGGCCTTTTCAAGTTAAAGGGTATGCAGTCATAAAAGGTTCTTGCTGCATATTTTCATTTCTTTTTCTAGAACGCTTATACCAAATTATATTTCTGTAATATGCTCATCCATGTTGTCATCAGTTTTCAGTATGATTAAGAATAGTGTTTATTTAATTTGACAGATACCCCTTAGCCTATGTGCAGGGCTTCTAGTGAAGATTTATTCTCAGGGAGCAGCTTTGTGTTTTACTTGGTAAAAATTGCCATTGCTTGGATTGTCTACTTACTGTCCCTCGAGTAATATGTAGACAAGTCCATTTCTAAGCCTTTGTGGCTAAAAGTGCTAGCTATGTAAATGCTAGGTGGAAATTTGCCATTCTTATCCCTTGGAAGTTCTTCTATTTTCCACTTTGTCCAAATTCTGGCTTTCCTTTAGATGCAGCTCTGCTTCCGTCTTCATAGGATCTTCCCTAGTCGTTTTAGACAGATTTTGTTCTTCACCTTCCCGGGCTAAGCATTCGATGCATTTCTTGCATTGATACTCAATTTTTGCTGTGAGTTATCTCAAATTATTCATTTGTTGGCAGAGACTTTGCCTTATGATACTTACTTATTTTTGGTTTTTTGAGACAGGGTCTCCCCAGGCCCCAGCTACCCTGGAACTCACTCTGTAGACCATGCTGGCCTCTGTCTCACAGAGATCCATCTGCCTCTGCCCCTCGAGTGCTGGGATTAAAGGCTTGTGCCACCATACCCAGCTTATTTTATGGTTTTATTTTGTTTCCCCATGGGACCTATGTGGAAATAAAAATGAATGCCAGTGCCCTTCATTGGTTTTGAAAAGCTACAATGAAATACTCACTGGGCATTCAGTGAAAATTTTAAAAAAAACTCAAATCTGTTCATTCTGTCTACCTTTCCACAGCTTGTGCAATTCTTTAGTCTTCAGTCTCTAACCCTTGATCATTGGTTGCCATAAATCGAAAAGGTCCTCATTTAGCTCTGGTCACGGTATTACATCATTTTATGTTTTTTCATTATGTAGATTACTGTGGATTGTCAGGAGCTCCAGTTTCACATAGTATTCCAGCTAAAGATTATTAGTACTAGTTGACAATAGACTTGGATTTGGAGGGGGAATGATGCCGTACAAGTGTAAGAGTGTGGTATCTAGCTTGTTGTGAAGGGTTCAAACAACTGACTCAGACCCACAGTTTTATCCTAATATTCTGATTGTTTCTCCAAGGGCTAGAAAGAACTTGAGATTGATGATAGGGAATAAAGGGAATCTTCTATCACCCCAGCCTGAATTAGAAGCCAGCCCTGCTGGTAGTAGTTCTAGAGATGTTTCTGTCCTTTATTTTCACTGAGCCCAGCACCTAGGAAAGAATGTCAGCATATTCTGGGAAGTGGAAAGGGGTTGGTGGGGCAACCTCAGCAACATCTGTCACTCCATTGCTTGCCAGGATTACTTAGTCGATTTGTCTGACTGGGCAGGTGTCCCCTCTCTCCCTCAGTGCTCCATGTGCATCCCTCTTGAAGCTTCGCACTCTGTTGAAGAGGACACTCATCCCAGGTAGAGAGGGGGACGGGAAACTGGGCCAATTTAATCTATGTCCTTTTCTTTTCATCAGAGCAAGGCTACTTGACTGGGATCCATTGACTTCCTAGAAGGTCCTTGACCTCCATGAAATTTCTTGCCCCGTTTTGTTTATGCGTTTTTGTGCTTCTTGGAGAAGATGGTCCACAACTTCCATCAGATTCTCAAAGGGATCTGTAGAAGCACATCACTGTGGCCCTATATGACGCTATTTTCTTTTATATTTGTTGGCTATTTTTCAAACAGGAATGACAGGAAATTAGAAATGCAAAGGAAAGGGTGAGAGGATTTCTACAATCCTGGACAAGTCATTACAGGATCCCTTTCTCATTTGTAAGGATAGATTTTAGATGTCTTCAGCACACGAGGCAGTCCTCAGAACATTTGTTTCTTAAGCAGTGGTAACAAAAATCTTCAGAAAAAAAAAAGAGAATAGGTGATATATAGGGCAGTAGTGACAGTTTGAAAATACTTGGTTTTTGTCACTATTGTGCTCTACAACCATGACATACCATTTAGGGATCTTAACTGGGTTAGGAAATGAAAGGACTAGAATACATTGAAGGCTCCTTGTAGCTCTAGTACAGACTATGGAAGATTTCTTTGTGTGCCAAGGATATCTAAAAAGCACATTAAAGGGGAAAGGAATCCTTTGCCTTCCTCTCAATGTGTGTCGCTCTGTGAGAGCGGGAAAGGAAGCTTAGCTTCAGGTGCCTGCGTTGTAAGATTGATAAGTTTCAGTTCTGTCAATTTTTGGTTTTGGCTTTGCCAGAAGGTAAATGAACATTTAATTAAGTAAAAAATAACTTGACCTAAGCTTTGTTCCTTGGTATGAAGTGCTTGACAGCCATTTTCTAATGTATGGGGGTTTTGTTTGGTCTTTTTGAGATGGTCTTCATGTAGCCCAGGCTGGTCTCAAACTTGCAGTGTACCTCAGACTGGGTTTGAATTCTTGATCTTCCTGCCTCTACCTCCCAAGTGCTGGGATTACAGGCCTGTAGCACCCACCATACCTGGCTGTGGCAATTTTATAGCGGAAAAACAGGCCTATTTGTTTTTTGGTTAAAGTTATTTCTTAAACTTTGTGAGATAAGTATAAATTTCATTGGTTTAAAGTTTTCCTTTTATGGAGTTAACTGTTATTTAAAGAATTTCTGAGTTTTGTTTGAACCACATCATTCCAGATTGAAGAGAGCAATTGACATCTTCCATGTATTTGCAGTCACTATTTAGAAGCAAGGTGCTTGAATGAGAGGGACTATCGGGACCGGAGATACGTTGATGAATACAGAAACGACTACTGTGAAGGATACGTTCCGAGGCATTACCATAGAGACATTGAAAGCACTTACCGAATCCACTGCAGTAAATCCTCAGTCCGAAGCAGGAGAAGCAGTCCTAAAAGAAAGCGTAATAGACCTTGTGCAAGCCACCAGTCACATTCGGTATGAGTGATTTTGTTTTTATGTTGAATGGATTCTTATTTGTAAAGCTCTTAAGGAGTGATAAGTTTCTAAAAGTTTCCTTAGCACTGTTTGGATACATTGTAATTATATTACTTGAATCCTTAAAGGAAATGTCCACATTCTCATAACTGACCTGTGTATTTATTAGCTAGCCTTCACTTGCCCACAGTTACTCATATTCTGCAAATCAGATCTTGAGTTTATTGATTTTAATAGTAAAAATGCCTTATTTTGTGTTTGTGTAATATATTTAAAAATGAGACACCCATCTTTTCTTTGAATGTAAACATTTTTTACTTTGAAAGAAATCTGTTTACTGAAAACCTCTTGGAAACAAATGGGAAAGTTGCACTGTTGAGCACTTAACTGTTGCTAACCTGTGTAGTCTAGCTCCCTAGCACGGTGTATCATTGTCTGCCACTAGTTATGCTGAAACTGTGAACCTGGGTGCTGAATGGAAACGTATATCCGAGACCCACACCTGCATTTGTTTAATTTGTAAACTTTGAGTTACTGTTTTCCTTCCCAAGTTTTTCTATAGAATTAATGGCTTCTAGATTGAACATTGAAATTAGCCTTTGTTTCCCCCTTTTATTACGATAATGTCCAGTTTTAAATGTTGCTAAATAAGAGCAGTTTCAACTGATCTTTACATTTTTCTGACAAACTAGACAACTCAACTCACAGCATATGGTAGTTATAACAGAAGTTAGTAAATCATGACATTGCATTCTTTAAACTTCAGACTTCAATTAAATCAGTATTTTAAAGAGACAATTGTGTTGTTTTTTTCTATTGCCACTTTAAGTATCTTATCTGAAAATCTGTTCCTTGCCATGTTTTTCTTCTGTAACATAAACTGTGCCCTGTGAATTTCTGGGGACTGAATTTGAAATTGCTCCTGCCAACTGTTCGTGGCCTGGTGCTTATCTGAATGCCTGAATATCTCCCCGCTGAATGAATTGCGTATTCTGCCCTGAATTCACTCTGATATATTGATTGGCTGGACGATCTTGGTGCTGCCCACTTGCCGTTCCAGAAGAGCCACCGAAGGAAAAGATCCAGGAGTATAGAGGATGATGAGGAGGGTCACCTGATCTGTCAAAGTGGAGACGTTCTAAGAGCAAGATGTATAGAATATTTTTCAACACTTTTTAAACTTTGCAGACAGAATAATCTTTAAAGAATAGTTTGTCAGCGGGGGGCTAAAGAACTCTTCATTGCTTTTTTGTTTTGTTTTTTGTGGGTTTGTTTGTTCTTTTGTATTTCTTCTTTTCTGTAGAATTTAAATATTTCTATTAAAGTTCCAAAATAATCAGTGGAATTTGAGATTAGAGCAAGACAGATAGCTCTGATTGTTTTTGTAGCAGCTGAAAATAAAATAATTTTGTGATGAAACCTTAGTTATGCTTTGATAGAGATCATTTGGAAATATTCCACACTTAAGCATTCATTGTTTGAAAAGTTAGATAATTCGTACTCGGGTACTTACACCTCTTTTTCTCTCCCTTACTGTAGATGAAATCGTGGACACTTTAGGTGAAGGGGCCTTTGGCAAAGTTGTAGAGTGCATTGATCATGGCATGTAAGTTTGTTTTTCATTTTGAATATTCTAATGAAACGGATTTTAAGTGGTAGTTACATGTTTTCCTGGGTGATATTCATCAGAATTTCTTGAAGTAGATAAAATTTCTGTGCCATGAGTATTTATTTTGTTACTGAGTGCATGTAATTTCTATCAGGTGGCATTCGTCCAGCAATTGAAAGGGGTATTCAAGTTCTGTCAGACCCAGCTGCCTTCGGTTTACAGAGCTAATAGAGTGCATCTAAATTAGCATACTAGAGTAAGCTTCTGAAGCTATACAGAGGTTATATTATGACCTATAGAACAAAGTCCATGTTTTTTAACAAGGCGTCGTAACCTTCCTCATGTCACCATTTTCCTTTCCTTATTCTGTAGTTTTGCCACTTTTTTGTAAGTTGAACCTCTTTGAATGATTAAGTGAAACATTTCTTTTTTTCATATTTTACATGTTTCTTTTATGTGCATGAGTGTATTGCTTGCATGTTTGTAAGTAAACCCATGTCATGTAATACCCACAGAGGTCAGAAGAGGGTGTTGGATCCCCTGGAACTGGAATTACAGATAGTTGTTAGCCGTCACCTGGGTGCTGGGAACTAACCCCAGTCCTCTGCAACAACAGCCAGTGCACTTAACTGCTGAGCCATCTCTTCAGCCTGAAACTGCATATTTCTAAAATGACTTTTGAATTTCTTGGAGAAATAGTTGGAAAGGAGATAATGTCCAGCTCATTGTAAACATCAGTAGCTTTGAATAAAGCTTACCTGTCTTTATTATTTTTATTTTATGTGTATGAGTGTATTGCCTGCGTGTATGTAAGTGCACCCGTGTCGTGCAATGCTCATGGAGGTCAGAGGAGGGTGTTGGATTCCCTGGAACTGGAGTTGCCATTGTTAGCTGCCATGTGGGTGCTGAGAATTGAACCCAGGTCCTCTGAAAGAACAGCCAGTGCTCTTAACTGCTGAGCCATCTCTCCAGCCCCTTTCCTCTCTTTAAATGTATTTGGTAGAGTCTTGGTATTGGAGCCACTTGACATGTGCTATCACACATGAATAAACTCTGCCTAACTACATACTTGGAAATGTTTTATCATTGGGCTTAGTGTGTGTCTCAGTGGTAGAGCACTTGCCTAGAATCTTCAAGGTCCTGGGTTCAAATCCTAGCCAAAACAACAAAAAATTTTATCCTTGAATTTACTTTCTTTCTATTGTCCATAATTTTCTAAAAATATTGTTGGGTTCAGACTTTCTAGGAAGTAGTCATAGAAATGTCCTAATCCAAAGCTCCTGCTCTACACAGCTGCTTTTTCTACATACTTGAATAATGAGTGTGTTAAGTGCTGCTTTGGCTTTATAACTTGTAGGCGATATCTTTTCCAAGCTGTTATATTTCTCTCCCGATTTGACAAGCTCACAACTGATCTTTCAGGACTCATTCTGTGTTGTTATAGATTGCTGTTTTATTGTGTGAGTAATTGGAACCTAACCTCTTCTGTGAGACTGTCTTAAGATATTCCTCTGTCTTTGTCATTAGACTAAGGCATGCAGGAATGAGTTCACCTTTCCTTACGAGCAGCCATGCCCTGTCTCTAGCAAAGTAGTTCTAGCCTAATGGTTGAACAGATACTTTGAGTCAGCATATTCTTATTCTGTTCTTAGTTTGTATATTTATATATGGATATGTTTTTAACGTTTTAATTTTTGTTGTATGGTTGAACAGATACTTTGAGTCAGCATATTCTGATTCTGTTCTTAGTTTGTATATTTATATATGGATATGTTTTTAACGTTTTAATTTTTGTTGTATAAACGTTAGATAAAAACAAATTTTTAAGAATAAATATTAAAATCCCCAAGTAGTATGTGTGTCATTGCTCCTTATAAATTTTATTTTATCAAAAGGATATTCTATGAAACCTGGTATAATATGCCCTGAAAGATTTAGAACATGGAGAAATTTGTAATTTTGTGTTGTAGAAAGCTGAGGTAGGAAGGTCACAAGTTCACTGTCCACCTGTGCTACATAGTGAGTTTGAGTCCAGCCTGAGCTACATATAGGAAAACCCTATTTCAAAACCAAAACAAAAAAGAATGTGCTTTTTGCAGGATATATGGCTTCAACTCTGCTGTATATTTAGCATTTTCATCTTTTGTTTTTAAGGGATGGCTTACATGTAGCTGTGAAAATTGTAAAAAATGTAGGTCGTTACCGTGAAGCAGCTCGTTCTGAAATACAAGTATTGGAGCACTTAAATAGTACAGACCCCAATAGTGTCTTGTAAGTATAAATTTGAACTATGAGCCATTATATTATGTGAACTAACAGAGTTCTGTGGACTGAATTATTACTTTGGTCTCTTTTTAGCCGATGTGTCCAGATGCTAGAATGGTTTGATCATCATGGCCATGTTTGTATTGTGTTTGAGCTGCTTGGACTCAGCACCTATGATTTTATTAAAGAAAACAGCTTCCTGCCATTTCAAATTGATCACATCAGGCAGATGGCTTATCAGATCTGCCAGTCAATAAATTGTAAGTGTCTATGATATACATTACATATGCTTTGTCTTTATTATCTGATCAGCATATTAAAGCTTGTACACATTACAGGTAAAGATGAAATCCCTCTTGACCACCGTAGCCCTTGCTAACCCTCTTAACCCTTCCTGGTACAGTGAAATTTCTAAGTGAGACTAATGATGTCTTTTTGTTCTCTTTGTAGTTTTACATCATAATAAATTAACCCATACAGATCTGAAACCTGAAAATATTCTATTTGTGAAGTCTGACTATGTTGTCAAATACAATTCTAAAATGGTAAGTTAGAGACTTGTTTTGATTTTAGTGTTTTTGTTTTGTTTTGATTTTAATTAATGTAATATTTCACTTCTGAGGCTGTTTATGCTTTGGTGTTTATCCACAAATGGAGGAGGAAAATATGTGTGGTCCAGTGGGGGTGGGGGGTGGGGGGAGAAGAAGAGGAGAGGGTCCATTTGCAAGCCTTTTGAGTAGTGCTGTAGAATATTTTACATCTTTATTGAATTTCACCTTACTCATCTGTCTCTCTAGAAACGTGATGAACGCACATTGAAAAACACGGATATCAAAGTTGTTGACTTTGGAAGTGCAACATATGATGATGAGCATCATAGTACTTTGGTGTCCACACGGCACTACAGAGCTCCCGAGGTCATTTTGGGTCAGTAGACACCAGACTTCTAGACTGTAATTGAAGAAGAGCTTTTATTGGGGTGGGGACAAGTCGTGGCGAGCCAAGATGATCTTAGTATACAGAAAAGTTTTCATTTTAAAATGTGTGAATGTCTCAGTATTTTTCCTGTGTGGTACAATTTGTGAAAGAGATTCTAAATGGTGATTTTTGAACCTTAAGTGATCATAACACAACAGACTCTGCTCACTAAGTACATCATAGAAATGTGATTTTGAGCTTGAATAGTTACCTGTTTGCATGTCATCACAATTTTATGGTTAAAATGCTGACAGTATGCTTGGCTGACTTAGACATAAGGCAGATAAAGGGAAGAGGAGAAGGTAACAAAAGGCTGGAAATGAAAGTGAGTTAAAGTGCAGAATTTTGGAACTCAATAAGAAAGCATGTATCATACCTCAACTTCACAGTTAGAGATCTGGTTCTAAGGTGGGATTAGGGGCTTAGAGACAAGAATTCAGATCCTGTACTGTTCAGGTCTGACTTGGAGTCATCAGTTGGCCTTGAGGTAAAGTAGTTTGGAAGCAAGATTAGAATATTGGGGGGGGGTGTTTTGGTGGTCCCGGGGTGAAGGCAGAATTAGGTTGACAAGGAATGTATTTGCTTCTATAGTAGACAGAAGGCAGCTGTCTTAGAACATCTAACAGCAAACAGGTAAGGGTGGGGAAACTGAAGTGAAATTATAGAGTATCAGAAGTGACTCATCCAAGAATGAGCTGATGGGCTGCAAAAGGTTGCAGTCCTTTAGGGGAAAGCTATATTGAGATAGTGGTTAAAGAAAAAACTTTTATCTGACACTGAGACCCAGGCTCTAGTGTCTATAGATTTCATTTGTATTGGTTATAAGTAGAAGCCTTACTGCATTGTTAACCATAATATGTTCCATTGGTGAGCATTGTGGAATGAACAAATGTGACTTAAACGCTGACTTTGCTGTTAAAATCTTCCAATTAGAATATGTAGAGTGCACCTCTGTAGGGAAGAGTTAGCAATTTAAAGTTGTTGCATAGTAACATGTTGATGTTTGTTTTAAATAGCTTTAGGTTGGTCTCAGCCATGTGATGTTTGGAGCATAGGCTGTATTCTTATTGAGTATTACCTCGGGTTCACAGTCTTCCAGGTATGTATCTAGTAAAAAAAAATTGATTATTTGTATTGAATTTTAAATGTTTAAAGGCATGCTAACATTTTAGTTTCCATATTGGAAAATTGCCCATAGATCATTATTCCGAAATTAAGACTTAAATAAGAAAGGGGTGTGTGTGTGTGTGTGTATGCGCATGCTCTAGAGAAATGGCTCAGCACTTAGCACTCTTCTAGAGGACACTCTTCTAGGTTCCACTCCCAGCATACACATGGCTGCTAACAACTGTCCATAACTCCAGTTCCAGGGGATCTGACACCTCTTCTGCCTTCCACAGACATTGCATGTCATGGGTGCCCTTACATATGTGCAAACAAAACTCTCATACACATAAAATAAATTAAAATTTAAGTATGTGGGGCTGGAGAAATGGTTTAGTGGTTTAGAGCACTGGCTGCTCTTTCAGGGGACCTGGGTTCGATTCCCAGCACCCCTATGGTGGCTAATAATCATCCATAACTCCAGTTAAGGGGATCTGACACCCTCTTCTGTTCTCTAGGGTATTGCATGACATTCATACACATTCAAAATAAAATATTTAATAAAAAATAACTTAAATATACAAAATGGTCATCCTCTGAAACCACAGTTAAATGAATTCCTACTGTTAGTGAATGGTTGTAGTTCAGTTTGCATGTATATGGTATCTTTAGCACACAGCCCGTGTGTAGTTAATATTGTTACATGTCCTAGGTTTTCAATACTGAGCAGCTTCATAAATTTACATTAGTGTTAACGTGGCTAGTTTTAATTCCACTCTTGCTTTGCTATCTTAAGACCATAAAGAAGGGCTGGAGAGATGGCTCAGTGGTTAAGAGCACTGACTGCTCTTGCAGAGGACCCGGGTTCAATTCCCAGCACCCACATGGTGGCTACGAACCCGTCCTTAACTCCAGTTCCAGGGGAATCCTTCGCCCTCTTCTGACCTCCATGGTATTGCACAACATGGGTGCACTCACATACATGCCGCAATACACTCATACACATAAAATAAAAATAATAAATAAAATATTTAAAAAATAAAAAATAAAGACCATAAAGAAGGCAGTTCTTTTTGTAGATGAATTCAAGAGCAGTAGGTGTATTTTATTTACTCTTAAGAATTCAGCATTTATGCAGGGCATAGTGGCATATGCCTTTAATTCCAGCACTCAAGAGGCAGAGGCAGAGGGATCTCTGTGAGGTCAAGGTCAACCTGGTCTACATAGGAAGTTCCAGACTAGCTGGGGTACAGGGAGACCCAGTCTTAACACACACACCCCCAAGGTGGGGCGGGGGGAGGGGGATTTAGCATTTATGATGCCTAGACATCTCTAGTTCTAAGTGTGTAAGGAATGAAAAAAACTGAAACACAGTTTCTCTGTCCTTTAGGAAATCCTGTAAAAATGGGGAAATAATTACACTGGAATATATTATTTGCTGTAATGGCACAATGTAAAAAATGTCAGGGGAATGGAGGGAAAGTTAATTGAATTTCCTAAAAGAAAAAAAAAAAAAAATCACTGAGGAAATAGGTTGTTTAAGCCAGTGCAAGAAGGAAGAGTAGGAGTTGGTCAGAGACCAGAGTGTGGTAGGTGCAGAGGAGCAGACGTCAGGCCGGGAAGGGTAGTGTTGGATAGCTCATGTCACTGGCAAAAGGATGGCGGAACGGACTTGGGTATCCTTGAAAGGGACTTATTTTCTCGTTGGAGTCTGGTTTCTGAGTGTAGCTTGACCAATGTGGAAATGATTTTATAGCATTGCCATGCTAGCCTTTAATATTTAGAGACTATCCATCCTGGCTTTTTAGATACTAAAATGACCCTTTTTTTGGTCTTTTTGAGACAGAGCCTCCCTGTAGCCCCAGCTGTTCTGGAACTCACTGTGTAGACCAGGCTGGCCTTAAACTCACAGAGATCCGCCTGCCTCTGCCTCCCAAGTGCTGGGATTAAAGGCATGGGCCACCATGCCCGGCTAAAGTTATTAATTTTTATTTTATGTGTATGAGTGTTTTACTTGCATATATGTAAGTGTACCATGTACATGCAGAGGCCAGAAGAGGACATAGGATCCTCTGGAACTGGAGTTCAGGATGGTTGTTAGCCACCATGTGGGTGCTGGGAACTAAACCTGGATCCTCTACAAGAATAGCCAGTGCTCTTAACCACTGAGCCATCTCTCCAGTCCCAAATCTAAAGGCCTTGAAAGCATTAGGTGATACAGCCATTGAATCAGTAGGATGTGATTTGATCTCTGCCAATATTGTTCAGCTCAGCTTTGTGTGGGGGAAAGTTAACTGAATTTCCTAAAATATGTGTTCAGCTGTGAGTATCCCAGCCCAGTACTATTAGGTTGATTAGAAGTTCCATCAAGGGGCGGGCGGGGCCAGGGGAGCTCTATCCATCCACACACAGTTAAGTCACTAGGGTGGCCGAGGCACTCCTTCACTGCTTGTGGCTGGGTCATCTCATCAGGCCCCCATCTGTTCTCTGTTGAATTTGTAAAATTCTGTTGAATAGTACTCTTGAGTTGGTAGACAATTTGGTCCTGGGAGGTCACCAGTGTGTGTGTGGTTTTGTAGTAGTAAGCTATATGGTCAAGAAGTTTGAGCTTACATTTTGACTTCATTAAAACAGTGCTTTTAAGCTTGGTTATTACATTGAGATGTGGACTTAGACTAAGGAATGTTTTTAAAATGTAGAACTTGCTGGGTGTAGTGCCGTACCCAGCACTTAGAGGCAGAGGCAGGTGGATTTTGGGTTTGATGCCAGCTTGGTCTTCATAGCAAATTCCATCCAGGCCAACCCGGACTACATAGTCTGTTTTCTAGTCCAAAGGTTGGCAAACTGTGGATCATTCTGAAAATTCTCATTTGTGAGTGCCCCAGCCTAAAAGATTTTCTATCTGGCTCTTTACAGAAAAAGTTCACTGACATTTGCTCTAGAAGCATAGTATGTCAGAAGTGTGCTTAACTGCTGCTTTTCTCTTTTGCAAAAGCTATATTACTGTTAGTTTGGTAGGGAGGTTTGTTTTTGTTGTTGTTGTGTTCTGAGAAAGAGGGTCTTGTAGCCATAGCTGACCTGAAAATCAGTATGTAGACCAGGGTGGCCTCAGTCTCAAAGGAGACCCACCTGTGGCTGCTGGGTTAAAGGGGTGCACAGCATTACACTCCGCCACGCACGGAGTGATAGTTGTAAGACTTTGACTTTGGTTTATAGTTTACTCATCTGTGAGCTATGTGACTTTGATCTAGTATCTTTGAACTCACATGCCCACATAAATAGTGCAGGATTATTGTGAGAATTATTGGAGTTGTATTTTTATTAATCTAGGATTATATAAAAATAGAGTTCCATTTTGTTTTAGACAAGTTGCATGTGGACTGCCATATAGACATTTTCAGCCACACATTGGATTGCGTGTTTCCATCAAAACAAACAACTCATTTAGTATTGTTCCATCTTTGAAGAATTGAGAATGTAAATTGTGTAGCTAAATGTTTTATTAAGTTATTTTATTACATTTATTTGGGGGAGGGGGTATGCTCATGCCACGGCGCACACCTGGCTGTCCGAAGACAAACTTGTGGGAGTTGGTTCTCTCCTTCCACCATGTGGATTGGTCCCAGGCCAGGCACTTAGGGCCTTTTATTAGCCATCTGGCCCTGGTCTTCTATGCAGCACATACTCTGCTGTTCTCTTTTATGTGTGTGCAGGGGAATGGAGAGTGCACTAAATTTCTTTTTCCTCCATTTTTTTCTAGACTCATGATAGTAAAGAGCACCTGGCAATGATGGAACGAATTTTAGGACCCATCCCAGCACACATGATTCAGAAAACAAGGTATGTCTAAGACTAAACCCTGCCTTCTTGGAAACATGCAGTGGCCTTTGTTCAAACTACCCAGTGTTTGTTTCAAGGACTACAAATTTGGAAAGACAAAACCAGTTCTGTACTTGAGATAACATGTGGCTGTCTTACCCCTCTTAAAAAGTCACATTTTAGAAAATCAGTATTTTGAGTGCTTGTAGAGAACAGGGTTTTTGTTTTGTTTTTTTAATTATTTTATGTGTATGAGTGTATTGGCTGCATGGATGTGAGTGCACCTGTGTCATGCAGTGCCACGGAGGTCAGAAGGGGGCTTCGGATTCCCCTGAAACTGGAGTTAAGAACAGTTCGTAGCCGCCATGTGGGTGCTGGGAATCAAATCTGGGTCCTCTGCAAGAGCAGTCAAGTGCTCTTAACCGCTGAGCCATCTCTCCAGCCCCATTGGTTTTAAAACATAAGTTAACTTTTACATAAAAGTTTTCCTAAGGTTACATAAAAATAATAGACTATGAGAAAGCTGTTTTTGGAATCTGTCAATCTGTCTGAATTTCCTGTTGTTGCTAATGAGTTACATGTTTCTGAACAAGATAATATAGTGGTTTCTCAGTACAGCTTCACCACAGGGTCACCAGGGAAGTGGTTTAAGAATTCCCATCCCCATTCTGGATCTGGTAAAATCAGAATTTACAGGAATGGATCCAGGAATGTTTTTTATTTTTTTATTTTATGTGTCTGAGTGTATTGCCTGCATGTATGTGAGTGCACCCGTGTCATGCAATGCCTTGGAGGTCAGAAGAAGGCTTCGGATTCCCCTTGAACTGCAGTTAAGGACAGTTAGTAGCCACCATGTGGGTGCTGGGAATTGAACCTGGGTCCTCTGCAAGAGCAGTCAGTGCTCTTAACCACTGAGCAATCTCTCCAGCCCCTAGGAATCTCCTTTTTAAAGTGGGCGGTTTTTTATTTTTCCTTTGGGAATAGCTTAGTTGAGATACTAAAACTCTCAAGGTAAGAGACAAAGGAAGATGCTGTATAAAGTGTTTGATGTAATTGTTGCTGTGCTCTTAAAAATTATGTACAGGTAAAAATACATGTTTGTATATAGAAATGCTGTGTCCCCAAGTGGGGACAAGGTCAAGATGTGAATCTTTGGTTCTTTTACTGATTTCACCTTCTCTTGTAGGAAACGAAAGTATTTCCACCATAACCAGCTAGATTGGGATGAACATAGCTCGGCTGGGAGATATGTTAGGAGACGCTGCAAGCCATTAAAGGTAAGGGAAAGAAAGATAAAAAGTTAAGAAGAAAAGTAATGTTTTTACTCTTACTATCTTTTTTAACAAGAACATTTCTCCCCTAGGAATTTATGCTTTGTCATGATGAAGAGCATGAGAAGCTGTTTGACTTGGTTCGAAGAATGTTAGAATATGATCCAACTAAAAGGATTACCTTGGACGAGGCCTTGCAGCACCCCTTCTTTGATTTATTAAAAAGGAAATGAAATGGGAATCAGTGGTCTTCCTATATACTTCTCTAGAAGCGATTACTTTAAGACTGTGTCAGTCAATTAAACATTCTAATATTTTTGTAAAAATTAAATTATTTTGTACAGTTAAGTGTAAATATTGTATGTTTTGTATCAATAGCATAATTACCTCGTTAAGCAAGTATGGTCTTGATAATGAATGAAATATAAAAGTTAAAATCAATTTTCCTTTTTGATGTTAATTCCATTTTTAAAGGCCTTTGGAATACCCTTGTGTCCAGTGATAATCGTGACTGGTCTTGTCTTTTGTATATGAAGATTGACTCTGAAATGATTTTTTTTGTTGTTTTGATTTTTTGAGTAAAATGAAATCTTGACTACTTTGTATGCTTAGAGATTCTTTATACATTTCAAATTTAGAACTTTTTATGACTGAAAGGTTTTTTTTCTATAATTATTGTTCAAACAGGTAGTATTAACTCTAGGAAAGTAGAATTTGAAAACCAAAACTCATGGAAAGTTTTTCTTGGTAAAGTTGCATCAAATTGTAAGCTTTGTTCTGTTGGGTGATGTCGAAGGCACTTGTGGAAAGGTCTCTCCTGACAGACTGTTACCGAGCCATGTACACTTCTTTAAGATTGAAGTGTTACAGACATCAAAAGAGAAATTCTGATAACTGAACTCTCGGGTTTTTGTTTTGTGGTACTGGGGATAGACCCACGGCCTTGAGCATTCTGTACTGTACCTTCAGCTCCTAAGGTTTTGCATCTTAGTCTTAAGTTCTGAGTAGTCTTAACAGTGTCTAATACTTATTTCCTAATGAAATAAGTGCTTAAACCTCTACCTAGGAAAATTAAGGGAATACAGAAATTCTCAGATCTTAATTGCTTGGTTAGCAAAAAAAAGCCTTTTACCTATTGTATTTCTTACTCTACCTGTTTTCACATATTAAAAAAAAAGCTACATGTTAATTTATGTAAACAAGATTAATCAGTGTGTCAGGTACAAATATTTTCGTAGAGAATTTATGATTATTCAGATACTGGTTGGTTTTTATTGAAAGCACATATCCCATTTCATAAGTTTATATCACAGGTAGATTTGCATTTTGTCTATATTTCAAATCAGATGTATGGAGCTTTCTTTCATGGCAAGCAGTAAAGCCAGGCTGTACTCATTACACTCTGTAGCGGCAGGTTTGCCAGTGCAATAGGACTAGAGCAGAAAGCTACAGCTGGTGTTCAGTCGAGTCCCTGCAATAAAGCATGTTTAGGCCTCTGCTTCAGTCCATACGTCACCATAGCTCCCTCGAGGATGGCAGGGTTGCTACTCAGATGTTTGCATTCCTGACTTCCCAGTGCCATTCACTGCTGCCCTGAACCTCTTTTCCCAGTGTGGGCTCCTGGTTCTCACCAGAGGGTTTATCTCATCAGAAACTCCTCACAAGCTGATCTTTATGTGAAAGGAAAGAAAGATGGTCACGTTCTAAACTCTTAATATGTCTGTGCAGGGCTGGAGAAATAGCTCAGTGGTAAGAGCCAGTACTGTACTGTTCTTGTAGAGGTTGTAGGGGTCCAAGCACCCATATTGGGTAGCTTACAACCACCTGTAACTCCAGCTCATGCAATCTGATGCCTGTCCAGGCCTCCACAGGCACTGCATTCACATGCACATACCCTCTCACACATAATTAAAAAATAAACATATATCTTAAATGTTAAGTTTGATAACTCCCTTTCTCTGAAAACCACTTAGGCGCCTTCATAGAGTGTTTTGCTGATTTGTCATCCTAATGCACATTTTAGGAGTTAATGTAACTTAGGAGAGCAGAGTGGTTAGGGTGGTATGTCTGGGGTCATTATATAACATTCCTTTGGCCACCATCCTTGGGGCTCAGGTTTCTAGTCTTGGCTGCCTCTCTTCCTGTACTTCATTCATTTTCTGGAAGGTCCAGTGCTTTGGTTTCTCAGTGTTTGCAGCTTCAACACTAAAAGGGCAAAGGCTCAGAGTGGCCAAGTCATGAATATGGATCGTTTATAATGTAGGTAATTTTAAAAATTTTAAATTCTTGGAAAATTTCATACATTTGTATAATGTATTTTGGTCATAATCCCCCTATTTCCCTCCCCTCCCACTCCTCAAAATGCCCACCTTGTATCCTTTTAAATAGCCCACTTAATTAGGGTTGCTTGAGTGGATGTGGGGTTATTTACTGGATTATGGGCTACACCCCTAAGAAAAATGCCCCACCCCCACCAGCCATTAGCTGCTAATAGATCCATGCTAGAAGGCCAGAAACTTAATCTGTGCAGGTAGCCACAGCTGCTGTCCAGAAATCAGCTTTTCATAGCACTCCTCTCCATCTGGCTCTGACATGCCTTCTGCCTCCATGATGTTCCTGAGCTTGTGGGGTGGGGCAGGGCATGGGGAGTAAACAAATATTTAAAAAGCAATTTAACTATTTTGTAGAACATTCAGCAAAATAGTAATAGTAGGTTTTTCTTGGGACCTATGACCTCCCTAGCCATGGGCTTTTCACCAGGTTCAAGGTACCAGGAATGAATTCCCTGATCCAGGTATGGTGGCGCACGCCTTTAGTCCCAGGACTTGGGAGGCAGAGGCAGGTGGATCTCTCTGAGTTCAAGGTCAGCCTAGTCTAAATAGTTCCAAGCCAGTTGGGACTATAGGGAGACCCTGTCTCAAAAAGACCAAAAAAACAAAACAAAACCCCCCTGATGAGTGGGCCTCAAGGATCAGCAGTTGGTTGCCCCCATAAAAGTCATGCCACTATTGCACCTGTAGGCACATTTTGCATGGCAGGTCAGTATCAGCATTCAGGACCAACCACCGGGTAAAACCATTGATGTTTCTCCCCCCCGCAGCCTGCATAGCATTTTCTGGCACTAGAATTCTAGCCTGCAGGGAGGAAGTTTCCAGGTCAGTTCCAGCATGATTTCTCTGTCCTACAACCAGAGTGGCATCTTCAACAGGTTCTTACTGTCTAGTGGGCAACCAAAAGCACTGGCAATAGCCTGTATTTTGGGGGGCCTCTGGGGTTTCCCTGATTAACAACTCGAGAGCTGTTCCACACCTGGTGCTGGGAATTGTGTTTAATAACTCAGGGCTTCTGGGAGCAGCATTATCCACCCATAAGGGTGGGGTTTTTTTGTTTGTTTGTTTTAATAGAGTAGTTGGTTTTCATAAGGCTTTTTCACATATCCTTAGTTTTGGTGGACTCTCCACTCAGTCCTCCCACATCCCCTATCCCTCCTCACTTAGACCATTCCAGTATTCATTCCTTTTTCTACTTGCATGTCATATGTTCTATCCTCTCCCTGCATTAAGGCAGGGTCTTTCTAACTTCCTAATTTTTTTTTTGTTGTTGTTAATTTGATACATTGTTAGTTTAATTTGATGGAAATAGTAGACGTTGGGGCTGGAGAGATGGATGGCTCAGGGGTTAAGAACACTGGTGGTTCTTGCAGAAGACCAGGGATTGAATTCCAGCACCCATATGGCAGCCAACAACTGTAACTCCAGTTCCAGGGGATCCTACAGCCTCTTCTGTCCTCCATGGGCATTGCATGCCATGGGTACACTTACCTACATGCAGGCAACACCCATACACATAAAACTAATAAAATATTTTTTAAAAAACGCTTTCTAGAAAGTACATGGAAGTCAAACTTGGTTTTCTTATGTAAGAGATTATTTTAACTACTGCTGAATAAGTGATTTCTGGTTTTCTGTTGTTGCTGCTTGAGATTTTTCATCTATAACATTGGAATTTTCAGGACAGATGACTGGAGTTGATTCTTGCATTCAGTACACTAACGTTAGTACAGCAGGGGGCAAGCTACCCTGAGACGTTCAGTAGTTCAGAACTGAACACTTCTGGATAATCTCAAGAGCTAGATACCAGACAGACTGCAGAGTGACTTGGCCAACTCCGTGATTACTCTTGAGCTGTAACAAACTTGGGTACTATAGAGTCTAGCATTGTACTAGAGAATACCACATTAAGGAATCAGAACTTGATCAGCTTGAATCTTAAAATTCTGGAATGACTTGAAATAATACTGGTTCATAGAAAGTTTTGTTACTTGGATAATATTTATTCTTGGAAATTAGCTGAACCATCAAAATGGTTCAGATAGTGTGGCTGTTTTCAAAACTTGTTTTCTAAACTAGGCAGAGAGTGATTCTTAAAACCTATGTTGACATTTTGTTTTGTCTTCAGACAGGGTCTCACTGCAGTTCAAGCTGGCCTCAAACATGAGGTGATCCTCCTGTCTCATGCACCAAGTAGTGGAATTTACTAGCAATAGTCACCACACCTGTCTTTGGATTGAAAAGGGTGGTTATGGGCCAGGGGTGGTGGTGCACAACTTTAATCCAAACATTCCCAGAAGCAGGTGGATCTGAATTCGAGGCCAGCCAGGTCTACATATCCAGTTCCAGGACAGCCAGGAACATAGTGAGACCCTGCCTCAAAGAAAAAACAAAGACAAAAAGGTAGCCTGGGATTTTGCCTGAGATCTTGCAATTCCAACATTTGGTTTTAAGTAGAATATTTTCACAGTTAAAAACCCAGTACTTGGTTAATAAGCTGCATTTTCAATGATTTTTAAAAATATGCAAAGGGAACTAGAGAGGATTGCTCAGTGGTTAATAGTACTGGCTGCTCTTGCTGAGGACCTGGGTTCAGTTCCCAGCATACATGGCAGCTAACTCCAGTTCCAGGGGATCCAATACCCTCTGCTGGCCTCCATGGACATTTACATGAGGCAAAACATAAAATAGTACATTTTTAAAAATTATGCTAGAGTACAGTAGTACGCCTCTATAAACATAGTCCAGCTTAAAATTTAAAACAGCCTGGCGTGGTGGTGCACGCTTTTAATCCCAGCACTTGGGAGGCAGAGGCAGGTGGATCTCTGTGAGTTCAAGGCCAGCCTGTTCTACATAGTGAGTTCCAGGTCAGCTGGGGCTCCAAGGAGACCCTGTCTTGAAAAGACCAAAAAAAAATTTTTAAAACATTTTGCAAATTTAAAAAATCTGTTTCCTAACATTTTCCTGTTGTATTTAAATAGAAATGCCAGCCATGGTGTCGGATGCCTTTAATCCCAGCACGTAGGAGGCAGAGACTGGTGGATCTCTGTGAGATCAAGGCCAATCTGGTCTACATAGTAAGTTCCAGGCCAGCTGGGGCTACAGGGAGACCCTGTCTCCAAAAAGCCAGCAAACAAACCAACCAGAAAATGTCATTTGAATTGGTTCTTTGAATCAGGACCCAGCAGGATTATATATTGAATACACCTCACTGGCCTTTACCTCTACATTGTATTTTTTTGACTAGTGGTCATTTGTCTTAGGGAATTCCCT